TTTTTTTTTTTTTTGGTACCAGGGATCGAACTCGGGACCTTGTGCTTGTGAGGCAGGCGCTGGAACCACTGAGCTAAATCCCCGGCCCCGAAGCTATTGTGAATGGTATTGTTTTCCTCATTTCTTTCTCGGGTGCATGATTGGTATAGAGGAACACTATTGAGTTTTTGATGTTGATTTTGTATCCTACTACCTTGCTGAATTTTGTTTATTAGTTCTAAGAGTCTTTTGGTGAAATTCTTTGGGTCTTTTGTGTAAAGAATCATGTAATCTGAAAAGGAATAGTTTGACTTATTCTTTCTCTTGACTGAATGTTTTGGCTAAATTTTTGACTACTTTATTGAACAGGGGTGAGAGTGGACGTTTTTATCTTGTTCCTGATTTTAACGCAAAGCTTTCAGGTTTTTCCCATTTAGTGTGATGTTGGCAGTGGGGTTGTCATAAATGGCTTTATCAGTTTTGTTTTGTTTTTTGGTACCGGGGATGGAACTTGGGTCCTTCCGCTTGTGAGACAGGTGGCGGAACCACTGAGCTAAATCCTCAGCCCCAGCTTTATCAGTTTGGAGTAAGGTCCTTGTATACCTATTTTTGTCAGAATTTTTTGTGAGTAGATTTTGGATTTTGTCAAAGGCTTTTTCTGCATCTGTTGAGATGATAGTGTGATTTTTTTTCCTTGCTTCTTTTATGTGATGGTTTACATTTATTGTTTTTTTGTACGTTGATGGTCACATAGGCCGCTTCCAAGATGTAGCTATTATGAGCTGTGCTGCTATAAACATGGGTGTGCATGGATCACGGTAACATGATGTCTTTAACTCTTTCAGGAAGATGCCTAGAAGGGGAATAGCTGGGTCAAATGGAATTTCTAGTTTTACATTTTTGGGGACTCTCCACACTGATTTCCACAATGGTTATACTAGTTTATATTCCCACCAACAATAGACAAGGGTTCCTTTCCCCCAACATTTGTTATTAGTTGATTTCTTGATGATGTCCACTCTTTCTGGAGTGAGATGCAATCTCGGTGTGGTTTTAAATTGCATTTCTCTAATTGCCAGTGATTTTGAACATTTTTTCATGTATTTTTTTGCCATTTGTACTTCTTCATCTGAGAAATGTCTGTTCATTTCAGATGCCCAATTTTTTGATTGAGTGTTTAAATTTGGGGGGGGGGTCTAATTTTTTTGAGCTCTTTATATATTCTAGGCAGCACTCCTTTGTCTGAGGAGTAGCTGGCAAAAATTTTTCCTGTTCTGTAGGTTGTCTCTTCATTCAGTTGGTGGCTTCCTTTGTGGTGCAGATGCTTTTTATTTTTATTTGGGTTTTTGAGAGAGGGTCTTGCTATGTAGTTCAGGCTGGCCTTGGACTCACTGTGTAGCCAGGCTGGCCTTGAACTCTCGATGATCCTTCTGCCTCAGCCTCCTAAGTGCTGGGATTACAGTGTGTGCCACCATGCCCAGCTATTTGATAAAAACCATGCCTTTTTTTTAAATCACTGTAGCTTTGTAGTATAATTTGAAGTACAGGATTGTGATGCCCCCTGCCTTGCCTTTGTTGGATTGCTTTTGCTACTCTAGGTCTCTTCTGGTTTCATATGAATTTTAGGATTGTTTTCTCTAGTTCTGTGAGGAATGCTATTGGTATTATTCTTATTTTTCTAGGCCCTTGAAGTGTGTGATTAGGTTATTTATTTCTGTTTTTCTGATGTGAGCATTCACAGCTATAAATTTCCCTCTTAGGATTGTTTCATTGTATCCTATAAGTTCTAGTGTGTTGTATTGGCATTATCATGTGATTCTAGGAACTAATTTCTTCCTTAATTTCATCTGTGACCCATTGATTATTTAAGAGGGTATTGTTTAATTTCCATAATTTCTTTTTTTTTTTGGTACCGGAGATCAAACTGGGGACCTTGCGTTTTCGAGGCAGGAGGCAGAACCACTGAGCTAAATCCCTGGCCCAAATTTCCATAATTTCTTTGGGTTTTTTTGTTAGAGATTTCTAGATTTGTTGCACTCTGATCTGATAATATGCATGAGATAATGTAAATTCGTTTTTTTTTTTTTTTTGGCTTTTTGAGACAGGATCTTGCTGTGTAATTCAGGCTAGCCTTGAACTCACTATGTAGCCCAGGCTGATTTCAAACTCATGGCAATCCTCCTGCCCCAGCCTCCCGAATGCTGGGATTACAGGTGTGCACCATCACGCCTAGCCTCTTCTTGTATTTATTTAAGCATGCTGTATGAGATAAATATGTGGTCTATTTTGGAGCAAGTTCCATATGCTACTGAGAAGAATGTGTATTCTGTTATCATTGGGTTGAACAGCCTGTAGATACCTGTTAAGTCCATTTGTTTGAAAGTGTAGTTCAACTCTTGATATCTACTGATTTTTTGGTCTAGTTGATCTGTCTGTTTGAGGGGTATTGAAGTCCTTCACTGTAATTGTGTTGTTGTTTATCCCTTTTTTATGTCCAGTTGTGTTTGTTTTATGAAATTAGATGCACCAGTATTTGGTGCATATATATTTATAATTGTTACCACTTCTTGTTGAATTATTCTCTTAACCAATATATAGTGAGCTTCTTTGCCTGTTTTGATCAGTTTTAGCTTGAAATTCACTTTTTCTGATAATAAGATAACTACTCCTGCTTGGAAAAATAAATCCCACATCCCCAGAAACCAACAAAGAAAAAAAATGAGTCCAAACAGTTTCTTTGCATGTTTTAATGGAGTAGTTTCGTTCCAGAGCCTGTAGTATTGGAATCCTCCAGGTATGGGGGAAGGATGGTGAGTCACAAGTAGGGCCTGTTTTGTTTCCACACTCACTCTTTTGTGTGTGAATGCTGAGTCCTGCCCCACCTTTCCTGCTGGGCATGGTCGGTCAATGGTGTCTGCCCAGTTTCCCTGTCTTTCCGTGAGCCCCAAGTCACTGCTATGGGCTCATGAGGTGCCTTCCTGTCCAGCAGCCCCTCTGCCTGCACACCTCAGGCTGTGGCAACCGTCCAGGCCAAGGTGTATCCCTGATCACGTTGGCAGGTGGAGAGGCAAACAGACCACTGAGCTCTGTGCTGGAAGTAGGCAGCTGGGTGGTGGAGTAGGGGTCAAGCAGTCCACTGGATGTAAGGCCAGCACTTTCAGGCCCAGCCCCTGGGAAAACAGTGCTCAACTGGCCTGGCTTCTCACCATGGAGGACAGGACCACCATGTGCTTCCTGGTCTGAGCTCGCTACTGCTTTAACTTCTCAACAGGTCTATGTCTAGCCTGTGCCTGCACCCTCTCTGCAACTGTCTCCCCCTCAGTTACTGCCGGAAGATGACTACAGAAACCCTGAAGTGTAAGTTGTTCTCTGATTTCTCATTCCCCAAGTAGCTCAGTCTTAAACAATTAACTCCTTCCCCCAAATGGCTTCTGATGAATCACACTCAGTTAGGGGCACTGGATTAGATTTCTTCTACTCTAGCTTACCATGTGAAAGGAGTTACTTTCAGAATAAAACCCCATGCTGTTTTTGCAGTGTTCAATAACCATGGGCTTTTCTCAGGGCTTGTGCTGCTGGTCTCTTATTTCTCCTGGGGCTGCCAAGCTTATCCAGGCTTAGCTTGCGTTTGTGGCTATAGGCCTTCCACCCTGGGAGCCGGGATGCATTCCAGCTTGCTTCCTTCTTTTCCCTATGTTGTGTTCAGTTTCTTTGTGATTTTTAGTTTTCTTGTTAGCTCTTTCTTAATTCCTGGCACACTTCTTCCTTTTCTCTTGTGTGATGTGTCATGTTTCATGTGTCATGAGTTCAGGTCCTGGACAGACTGTGATATGCTGTCAGATTTCACACCACCATCTTATTTCTCCTTGTTTTTTGAGATGGGGGGGGGTCTGTCTTTGTTGCCCAGGCTGGCCCAGAACGCCTGGCCTCAAGTGAGCCACCTGCCTCAGGCTCTCAAGTAGTGGGAATACAGGCATTGGCCATCATGACTCCTTCCCCCCCCCTTTTTTTTTAAGTCAAGCAAGTTTCATTTTTTTACCCCTAGGTTATTTGGATGTCATGTATCTGGTTTTTGTTCTCCTAGTGGTTATCTTTAAATTTTTCACTAGCATATTTTCCCCTCAAGTTTGAGTTTTATATTGTATATGTAAAATTCCCTCCTAGAACAAGTCATAGTCATATCTTTATTTTTCCTATTTACAGCTTGCTGTGTAAGTGATTAGTTTTTGCATTTGTCAGTGGTATACATGAGTGTAGCTTAAAGCAGAGAGCAGCAAACTTTTCAGTAATAGGCCAGGTAGTATTTTAGCCCACATGGTCTTTGTCATAGCTAATCACTCTCATTTGCGGTAATGCCCTCCTTGTAGCATGAACGCAGCCATAAGCAAGAGGGAAATGAAGGAGTGTGGCTATGTGCTAATAAAACTTTGTTTATGGACACGGAGATTTTGAATTTCATATGATTTTCCCATGTTATGAAAAATATGCCTACTTTTGATTATTTTCAACAATTTAAAAACATTAAAACCATTCCTAGCTCTGAGGCCATACAGAAATAGTCAGTGGGTTGCTGGGTGTGGTGGCGCATGCCTGTCATCCCAGCACTCGGGAGGCTGAGGCAGGAGGATCGCCTCAAGTCTGAGGCCAACCTGGGCTAAATCGTGAGTTCAAGGCCAGCCTGGACTATAAAGTAAGACCCTGTCTAAAAAAAAAGAAAGAAAAAAAAAAAAAGAAAAGAACTAGGGAGTGGGCCTTCAGAGTGTTGTCTTCAGTGCATTTTCTGCCAACCCTAGTTCAAAGCCTTACGTACGTATACGTCTTTTATTACAATACAGTTAGTAATTCTCAGCTGATATGCTCACCTGATATCCACTCTGCAGAATCAACCACTTTCAATCCTTTTTAGCTCTTTGTCTTAGCAGTTCTGTAAACAATTTGTTTATAATGCCATTCTCTGTTTTCATATATTAGGAATTATTGGTTGCCTTCTCACAATCAAAGATGATGATGTAGCTCTTTCACCTGGCCCTCCCTAAACACCACGCCTCTCTTCCCCAAATTCTACTATGGTACATGAAGATTTCAGTTAGGGCATTTCTTAGTGGTTAGCAAGTGCATGGAAACACTACTCACAACTGAGTAATTACTGTGATTCCTTTTCCTTTCTCTCCCAACTTTTTTGTTTTCCTTGGAGTCAACGCTTGTACTCCCAAAGCCCTTTTGTTTGTTCTGTGGTGCTTAATTGCTAGTTCAGCACTTCCCCAGCTGTCTAAATCTCCTATCCATTTGGTCAAAGAGCTCCAGCATTTTAGTAGTTTCATTCCCTCGAGCTCTGTTGGAGCTTCTTGACTTGCTGTTCAGGCCTGCTGCCTATCATCCTAGACATGGTGTTTACCTCTGTATTGGCTTGAGATCCCATTTTCACTTCTCTGGTTGTGATGGTGCAGTATCTAAAAAAAGAAAAAGAAAAAGAAAAAAAGAAGAGGTAAACTGAGTCCTCTCATGTCTGAACATCTCTTTAAACTCACATTAAAAGCTGTAGCTATAGCTCAGTGTTAGAATGCAAGTTTACTATGTGGAAGGCTTTGGGCTCTACCCAAGCTCCATAAATAAAAACAAAACCTTCCTAAACTCACAATTGATGGTTTGTGTATAGAATTCTAGGTTGGAAAATCATTTTTCCCTCAGAATTTTGAAGGCATTATTTTATTGTCTTCTAATTCCTTATGCTGTTCCTGAAAAGTCTGAAGACACTCTGATTTCTGATTGACTGTCACCTTTTTTCTCTCCAACAGTTTTTCTCTCAACATATTGAAGAAATTATTCAGCCATCTCCTGGATTTCACTGATGATATTGAGAAGTCAACTTGCCGTCTAACCATCATGATTTTCCAGGTAATCAGCTTTTTTCCTCTGGCTGCTTTTAATATCTTATGTCTAGGTTTGGATCTGCTTGCTTTTCCTACTTGGGATTTATTGGGCTTCTCAAACTTGTAGATTTATGTCTTTCATTAGTATTTGAATATTCTTGGGGAGTATCTCTCCAAATATTGTCACTACTTCATTGTCTTCTATCTGTGGCATAGCGATGAGATTTTTTTTTTTTTTTTTTTTTGGTACCGGGGATCAAACTCGGGTCCTTGTGCTTGCGCAGCAGGCAGAGAAACCACTGAGCTAAATCCCCAGCCCTCTTTAGTTCTGTTCCATGATTGATTTGGTTTTTTTGTTTTTTGGTACGGGGGATCAAACTCAGGACCTGACACTTGCGAGTCAGGCACTGGAACCACTGAGCTAAATCCCTGGCCCTATGATTTATTAATATATTCTGCAGTTATTTCAGATCTGCTATTGAATCCATATATTTAACATTTCAAAACTTTTTTTTTGTACTGGAGATCGAACTCATGGCCTTATACTTGCGAGGTAGGCGGTGGTGCCACTGAGCTAAATCCCCAGCCCTTTCAAAACTTTTTAAAATTGGAAAGCTGGCATATGTACCTAAAAGTGCAGAAAATATCAACATATATTTTGAACAATAATGAAAATATGAATACATATTTACTATTCAGGTGAAGCACCCCAGCCTCCATGTTTCCTCCCACCACAATCTCCTCTCATCCTAGTAGGGACCCCTGTCCTGACATTTATGCTATTCATGTCCATGCTTTGTCTTTGTAGCGTCGCCAGCTGCTAGGCATCTCTACACAATATTACTTAGTTTTACTTGCTCTTGAAATTTATATAAACAGAACCATATGTGGTGTGAATTTTCCTGTTTGGCTTCTTTCAACATTGTGCTTGTGAGATTCATTCATGTTTCCCATGGCAGTAGCTCCTTTCCTTTGCTATATAGTAGTGTGTTGCTGAATATTTAACAATTTACTTGTGTTTTCTGCTCTTGGTGGGAAGGTAGTTTGTCATAGTTTGTCATAGTTACTGGGAACATAGGTGACCAGTCTGTAGGGATATTGCTGACAAATGCAATAGCTGGGGCATTGTGGTATGCACGTCTTTTGATTTATACTCCTACTTAATGCTTTCCTGCAGGGGCTGCACCAGTTTGTTCTCCCAGAAGTAATGATTGAGAGTTCCTATTGCTCCATATCCTTTCCAACATTTATTACCATTAGTTTGTCTGAGTTTTGCCAATTTTCTGGTTGTGTAGTACTACCACACTGTGTTTTTGAAATTGATGGATTGAGCTGGGAGTGGTGGCATATGCCTGTAATCTCAGCACTTGGGAGGCTGAGGCAGGAGGATCACCACAAGTTCAAGGCCCACCTGGAATATGTAGTGAGACCTCATCTCAAAAAAGAAAAAAAAAAGATGGATAATTTACATATAATACAATACACAGAACCAAGCTGTCTATTACAACATAGTCACTTCTGACTTGCCACCAGGAGAGCATTTTCAGATGGCAAATTGTCATGAAAGTGCTTACACTTCCAGAGCAGAAACAGAAGAGATGCTGCACCTGCTCCAGTCCCGCCTACCTTTTCCAGCGCCTCATCCTCCCCTCTGCCTGATTTGCCATCTTGATTTACAGGTGAGAAACTGAGCCTCAGAGTGGTTTCTTGTTCAAAGTCTCAGTGTAATAGAGGCAGGATGTGAGCTGGGTTCTATTCAAAGGCAGCGTTATCCCTCACCATGTGAAAGACTCATTTACAATGGAATTTTCTTTTATTCTTTTTTATTTTTTATTAGTACATGTTTGTGATACATAATACATTCATTTTGGGGAGTTGATACCTACACATATTGCATCTTAGTCCTTTTTAATTCTTCTTGCCCTCACCTCTCTCTCCTTTCCCTCTATTCTTAGATCCCTTCCCATCTGCAGAAGGTCTACCTCTGTCTTCTATTGTCTGTCTTTTATTTTGTTTTTTAAGTTATTTATACACTGAGTTTCTGAGTGTATTTCTTTCTAAATATAAGATAAACCATGTGACATTGAAGCTTGTGTGTCTGGTTTATTTCGCTTAACACGATAGTCTTCAGGTACATCCATTTTCCTACAAATGTCAAGTTTGTCCTTCTTTATGGCAGAGTAGTGCTCCATTGTGTGTAATAACACATTTTCTTTATCCATTCATCTGCTGATGGACATATAGGCAGCTTCCTAGATTTAGCTATTATGAGTTGTGCTGCTATCAACATGGATGTGCATGGATCACTGTGGCGTAGTATCTTTAACTCTTTTGGGAACATACTGTAGCACGTAGAAACTGAATAGCTGAGTAAAATGGGATTCCTAACTTTGGTGTGTTTTGGACTCTCCATACTGATTTCCATAGTGGTTGTACTAGTTTACATTCCTACCAACAATGAAGAAGGTCTCCTTTTCCCCACCACTTAACCAGCATTTCTTATTTTCTGAGTTTGTGATGATGGCAATTCTTCCTGGAGTAAGGTAGAATCTCAATGTTGTTTTAATTTTCATTTCTTGTCTGGGCATGGTGGCACACACCTGTAATCTCAACACTCAGGAGGCTGAGCCAGGAGAATTGCCTAGAATTTGAAGCCAGCTTGGGCTACATAGTGAATTCAAAGGCAGTCTGGACTCCATAGCGAGAGCCTGTCTCAAAAAAGAAAATGTTTAGATTTTTGATTTGTTTTTATTTTATTTTAGTACATGGTGAGAATTATGGGTCTAGATTTAGTTACTGCATGTGGATAACCAATTTTCCCAGCACCATTTGCTAAAGAGGTTATCTTTCCTTTTAGGGAAGTGATGGCAAACCTTTTAGAACTTTCAATGATACAAATAAGCTACTGGGTCACGTATGCCATAGGTTTGTCACCATTGCTCTAGGTTTTTGGCCCCTTTGTCAAAGATTAGACTGCTGAATGTGTCTGGGGCTGTTTCTGCATTCTCTGTTCTGTTCCACTGATCTGTGTGTCTGTTTTGTGCCAGTACCATGCTGTTTTTATCACTGTAACTTTGTAATATGACTTGAAAACTGGGATTGTGATGCCTCCTACTTTGTGCTCTTGTTGCTCAGGATTGCTTTTGCTATTTTGGGCTTCTTCTGGTCCAATTTAAATTTTAGGATTTTTTTTTCTGATGAATGCCATTGGTATTTTGATTGAGATTGCATCAAATCTATGTATCAGTTTTGAGAGTATGGCCATTTTGACTCTATTGGTTCTGCCTATCTAGGAACAGGGGACGTCTTTCCATTTTCTGATGTCCTCTTCAATCTCATTTTTCAGAGTACTGTAGTTTTCATTATAGAAATCTTTCACTTTCTTGATTAGGTAGATTCCTAAGTATTTGATTTTTTTTAGTTTTTAATTTTTTGAGGCTATTGTAAATGGTATTGTTTTTCTAATTTCTTTCTCAGTGGGTTCATTATTGGTATAGAGGGACACTATTGATTTTTGTGTATTGATTTTGTATCCTGCAGGCTACCTGACTGAATTTATTAGTTCTAAGAGTCTTTTGGTGGAATTTTTTGGGTCTCCTATGTAAAGAATTGTTTTATATGTGAAAAAGGATAGTGTGACTTCATCCTTTCCTATACGGATGCCTTTATTTCTTTTTCTTGCGTGAATGCTCTGCTAAAGTTTCAAGTATTCTATTGAATGGGAATGATGAAAGTGGGCACCTTTGTCTTCTTCCTGATTTTAGAAGAAAGCTTTCCACTTTTTCCCATTCACTGTGATGTTGGCATTGGGGTTGTCATAAATGGCTTTTGTCAGTTTGGAACAAGTCCTCCTATACTTATTCTTGTCAGTTTTTTTTTCTTTTTTGTACCAGGGATCGAACTCAAGACCTTGCTCTTGTGAGGCAGATGGTGGAACCACTGAGCTAAATCCCCGGCCCAGTTTTGTTTTGTTTTGTTTTTATCATGGATGGATATTGGATTTTGTGATTTTTGCCCTCGTTTCTCTTTATGTGATGTATTGCATTTATTGATTTATGTAGGTCTGTTTGCCAGTATGTTGTTGAGAATTTTTGCATCTGTGATCATAGTTCTCTTTTCTTGTTAAGTCCTTGTTCAGTTTTGGTATCAGGGTAATTCTAGTTTACACGAAATAGTTTAGCTGGACTTCCCTTTCCGTTTCATTACAGTTTAAGGAGTATTGGTGTTAGATTTTCTCTGAAGTTCTTGTGGAATTCAGTGGTGAATCCACTGGGTCCTGGGCTATTCTTTGTTGGTAGAGGTTTTATTTATTGTTTGTTTGTTTTCTTTTTTATATAGTCTGTAGAGTTTTTACTATTGCCTCTATTTTGTTACCTGTCATTTTTCTATTCAGGGTTTTTATATCTTAGTTCAATATTGGTAACTCATATGGATTTAGAATTTCTCTATTTCTTCTAGGTTCTCCATTTTATTGGAATATACATTTTTGGAGTACTTTTTTATATTCCTTTGGATTTCAGCGGTGTCGGTTGTGATTTTGCATTTTACATTTGTAATTGCATTGATATGGGTTTTGGTTGAGGGTTTATCAATCTTGTTTATTCTTTCAAAGAACCAACTGCGTTTTTGTCTTTCCTTTTTTTTTTTTTTTTTTGAGACAATGCCTCACTATGTAAGCCAGATTGGCTTCGAACTCACATTTATCCTTGTGAGCCTCTTCAGTGCTGGGATTACAGTTGTGGGCCCTCACACCCAACACCTAACTTTGATTCATTCAGCCTTTGTGTATTATTTTTTTTTAGTCCCAGTTTCATTGATTTCCACTGTCATTTTTATAATTTCTTCTCTGGTATTAATTTCAGATTTGGATTGCTCTCTTTTTTTGGTACCGAACTCGGGTCCTTCCACTTTCGAGGCATGTGGCGGAACCACTGAGCTAAATCCCCGCCCTGGATTGCTCTTGTTTTCCTAGGACCTTGAGATGCATCATTAGGTTATTTGGGATTGCTCAAATTGCTCTTTTTATGTGCGCATTTACAGCTATAAGCTTTCCTCTTAAAACTGCTTTCATTGTGTCCCATAGTCCTGGCACATTGTGCTTCCATTGTCATTTGTGTAGGCAATACAATATATGGTTGCTTTTTTTTTTTTTTTGGTACTGGGGATCAAACTCAGGACCTTGCACTTCTGAGGCAGGCAGCGGCACCACTGAGCTAAATCCCGGGCCCCTGCATTTTGTTTTTTGATCCAACCTGCCAGTCTGTCTTTTGATTGGGGATTGAAGACTATTGACAGAGACATTATTGTAAGGTATTTATTGAATCTTGTGATTGCATTAGTTTTCCAGTGCTAATTCCTTTGTTTTTTTACCTTTTTTTTAATTACTCTCCCAGTTAGATGTATAATTTCCTTTGGGCTCTTTGGTGCTGGTGGCCTCCCTGTTTCTGTCTAGGATTCTCTTGAGTACTTTTTGCAATGCCCATTTAGTGGTCATGTATTTCTTTAGGGTTTCTTTGTCATGGAAAGCATTTACTTCTCTGTCAGTTTTTGAAGGGTGATTTTTCAGGCTATAGAAGTCTGAATTGACAGTTGTTTTCTTTTGAGGCTTGAAAACTTTTGCTCCAAGTTTTCCTGGCCTTTAAAGTTTGTTGTAATTCTAATAGGCTTGCCTATTTGCTGCTTTTTCTTAACAGCTTTCACTATTTTCTCCTTTTGTAAATTTCTGGAATTTTTTTTTTTTTTTTTGTACCAGGGATTGAACTCATGACCTTGCACTTGCAAGGCAGACGCAGTACCACTGAGCTAAATCCCTGGCCTGAATTTCTGGAATGTTGATTATATTATACTGTGGAGAGGTTCTTTTCTGGCCATGGCTCCTTGGTGTTCTATATGCCTCCTGTAGTTTAATATTTAATTCTTTCCCTAGATTTGGATAATTTTCTGCTGTGATTTCAGTGAATAAAATTTCTATATCTTTTGAGTCATCTTTTCATTTTTTCCTTTATTCTTATAATGCTAATGTTTTCTTTTTGAGTTATTTGGTAGCTGTTGCATTCAACTTGCATGTTTTGTTGTCGTTTTTAGGGTATCACTGAGTTTATGACCTAGTATATCCGCTTTGTCTTCAATTTCTGAGACTCTGTCCTCATATTGGTCATATCTGTTAGCCATCCTTTCTGTTATATTTTTCATATCTTATATTTTGCTTGCTTTCTTTTTATAATTCCTAATTCTTTTTTTTTTTTTTTTTTGGTACCGGGAATTGAACTCAGGTCCTTGCGCTTGTGAGGTAGGTGGCAGAACCACTGACTGAGCTAAATCCCCGGCCTGTATAATTCCTAATTCTTTACCAGACTAGTAAAGAATATTGTATTGTCTTGTTTAACTCAATTTGTTTATTATTTGTTTCTTCTCTAGGCTCATTAAACATTTTATTAATAAAAAGTCCTTTATTTAATAAAGTTCTCTTTAAGCTTGCTGAACATCTTATGAAATTGCTTATGTGCTTCTTCTTTGAGCTCTTCAAACATTTAGATCATTTGATTTTGAGTTATTTGTCTGTTATTTCCTCCACTTCAGTGGACATGAGATTGACCTGTGGGAGGCTAAGGGTTTTTGTAGGCATCTTGGTGCCTTGCTTTCACATATTTCTATTGTTTTTGTGCTGCAAGGTGAAGAACAGTTAAGCCAGAGACTTTATCCCTACTGTGGACATCTCTTTAGTTAGGTTCTGTCTTCCTGTGATGTGACCTTGGGTTCTGCTATGTTTTGGTGTTTATACTCCTCTTCAGCATACTCAGTGTGATATTTGAGGGCATTCTTAGTGTCCAGCCATCTTCTGGGGACTTGATCCCCAGCACCACATAGAGAGGAGAAAACAAACCACAGTAATGATGATGACACAAAGACAGATGAGATATTAGTATACAATAAAAACCAATTAACGGCAATAGCTGTGCCACCATTGGCAGTAGCAATCAGCAATAATGATAGAGTCAGAGACAAACTAGATATCCGCATAACATGAGAACCAATAAAAGTTACCTCTGAGCTGAGGATTTAGCTCAGTGGTTCCGCTGCCTGCCTCACAAGCGCAAGGTCTCGAGTTCGATCCCTGGTACCAAAAAAAAAAAGAAAAAAAAGAAAAGAGAAACAAAAGTTACCTCTGAGCCACCATTATCAATAGAAAAGAGATCTACAATGATAACAGAGACCCAAAGACAAACCGAATAGCGTCATACAGTAAGTATCTACTAAAGGTAATAACTATACCACCATTAACACAGGAAAGAGTTCAGCAGTAGCTGCATTTAGCAACTAAGTATCTAAAAAATTAATACTACTTAATTGTAATAATAAAAATGGAGGAGATGGGGAAAGAGAAAAATAAAAGAAGTAAAATTTGAAAAAAATGATAGGAAGATGAGAGAGAGAAAAGTGAGATAAAGAATTCAAATGAAGAATAAAAGAAAATAGCACTAGGTAAAAGTAACAGAACAATAAGAAAAGTAAGAAAAAGAATAAAACAAGGAAGAAAAGAAAAAAAAAGCACTCCCCTTTCCCTGAAAACAAAGAAAAAGAAAAATGAGCCCTCCATGTGTTGGGTGAGAGGTTTCTTTCCAGAGCCTGTGGTATTGGAATCCTCCAGGTATGGGGGAAGGATGGTGAGTCACAAGTAGGGCCTGTTTTGTTTCCACACTCACTCTTTTGTGTGTGAATGCTGAGTCCTGCCCCACCTTTCCTGCTGGGCATGGTCGGTCAATGGTGTCTGCCCAGTTTCCCTGTCTTTCCGTGAGCCCCAAGTCACTGCTATGGGCTCATGAGGTGCCTTCCTGTCCAGCAGCCCCTCTGCCTGCACACCTCAGGCTGTGGCAACCGTCCAGGCCAAGGTGTATCCCTGATCACGTTGGCAGGTGGAGAGGCAAACAGACCACTGAGCTCTGTGCTGGAAGTAGGCAGCTGGGTGGTGGAGTAGGGGTCAAGCAGTCCACTGGATGTAAGGCCAGCACTTTCAGGCCCAGCCCCTGGGAAAACAGTGCTCAACTGGCCTGGCTTCTCACCATGGAGGACAGGACCACCATGTGCTTCCTGGTCTGAGCTCGCTACTGCTTTAACTTCTCAGGTGACAGTCTCTGGTGACTGTCTCCCACCCAGTCACTGTGGTAGGGTGGCCCCAGAGACCCTGAAGTTTATAGTTGTTTTGTGATTTCTGATCCCCAGAGTAGCTCAGTCTTGAACAACTAACGCCTTCCCCAAATGGCTCACAAACATGGTGGTGCTGCACTCCCTTTCTTCCTCAATGCCAGCCGGCCACGTGGAAGGCATCTCTTTCAGAGTCAAACTGCACGCTGTATTTGCAGCTTACAACGCCATGAGCTGTCTTAGGGCTAGCAGTGCTGGACCTGTTCCCCAGGGGCTGCCGCCCCTCTCCGGGTCACCTTGATCTGCAGAGTCAGGTTCCCTCCCAGGAGCTGGGGCCAGTGCTTCTTTTCTCTCATTGTCCTCAATTTCTCCAGTTTCCCTGTGATTTCTAGTGTTCCTGTTGGCTCTTTCCTGATTCCCGAGCTCGCCTTCCTCTTTTCTTGCTGAGTTGTTGTTCTGGGTGTCTAGATCCAGGTCCTGCAGAGGCTGTGTGCTGGTCCTCAGCTGCCATTTTCCCTCTCCATTACAATAGCATGGACTGTTCTGTGACAGTGGAGAATGTACCTGGCTGTAGCACATGGTCGGCCCTCAGGAATTCATGTATGGAACGAATGATTGCATGAAGCAGTGAACCTGTTAGGTTGCACATCTCTCTGCCTACCTCTCCTGTCTCCCTGGAAGTAGCAATGTGCAAGCCATGTGGGTTTGTGGGAATGAGTTTATTTGTACTTCACAAGAAATGTTCTTTATGAGACCTACAACTGGTAATTGTTGGAAGATAACAACAAGGAAGCTGGAGGATGATACCGCGGATGTAGAGGGGACATTCACCTGTGAAGTGAGAAGTCAGGTGCTGGAAAGGAGGGGAGGGTCCCCCTGCACACGTCAGCGTCCATGCACACGCATGTTTTCATGGAGTGAGGACGTCTGTGTCCAAGGCTCCTGCCGTTGCGGCTCACAGAACACCCTTTTGTGATTTCTTGTTTTCCACTGCAGAAAGAATACACCAGGGATCCAAGGGCGAGCCTCCCCCGCCATGTGCCTTCCCGCAGGTTCCTGTCATCCAGCGAGGATGGCCCTAGCAGCCACTCTGGCCACTCCAGCCTGTCGGAGAGGGATGTCACCCGAAGCTTGCAGAAAGGCATTAGGCACCGCATCCTCTACCTGTCCGAGCAGCTGAGGGTGGAGAAAGCCAGCCAGGATGAGAACATGATGAACTACCTCAAGCTGGTGACCAGCGCTGACCGTCACCAGGCCGCACATATCTGGCAGGCCTTTGAGAGGGTGAACCAGCACACCTCGGCCACCATCTCGAACATTGAGTGCCGGCTCCGCCAGTGCTACCAGCAGCTCCTGGAGCTAGAGGGTCACAGGCCCAAGGGCCCAGCACTCAAGGCAGACATTGGCCTGGATGACCGTGAACAGCCAGGTGGGCCTGGCATTGCTGGAGCCTGTGTGCCGGAGACTTACCCCTCCTGTCCCAGTTGGCAGCGAGCACTTTTGCTGCACAGGGCAAAGGAGGAGCTGGCAGAGGTCAGGAGCTCATGCTCAAGTCTGCAGGGGGCCTACCAGCGCCTCCAGGACAAGTATCTGACAGACTTGCCTGTGTCACTGGAGTCCCTTCAGGAGCACAGGTACAGGTGAGGCGAGCCCCTTCCCTCCCTCTGCCCCGGGGACCTGCCTGTAGCCTGGGGCGGGGCCACTGGTAATGTGGTAGTGTAGAGTCTTCGGATATGGCTTTTGTGCCTGCCTGGCGTGTTCAAGGTTGTGGCATGCACCAGACCTTCCTTTTTTCCTTGGCTGAATACCCCCTACTTTTTGTCTCTCTGGCCCACGTTGACAGACATCTGGGCTGTGTATTAACTGCCTTCCCGTTTCTGGGACAAAGTACTCACCCACAACTTCCAGAAGGAGAGGTGTGTTTGGGCTCATAGTTTTCGGAGGGTTCAGTCCAAAGTCAATGGGCTCCAAGGCAGGGATGGCACAGCAGAGTGCTCGCTGGCTCATGGGAGGCTCGTGGGAGGGTGCTCACCACCTGGAAGCCTGGAGTCAGGAAGAGAAGGGAGGAGCCAGGGCTGAGAGCACACCTTTGCGTCCTAGTGGCTGGCCTCTTGTCACCAAGGCCCCTCCCCTCCGAAACCTGGACCCGTTGTTTACAACTTTTGCTGCTTGTGCGAAACTGCTGTGAACGCTGGCTCCCTGGCTCTTGTGCAGGCGTGAGTTCTTTGGGGTCTCCTCCTGCAGTGGGATTGCTGTGGCCTGTGGGGGCTCTCGGTGTACCGTTCGGAGGGACTGCCAGGTTGGCTCCCATGGACTGTGCCAGTTACCTTTCCACCGGCTATGCACTAGGCTTTGCTCTTTTCTTTTTTTCTTTTTGGTAGCGGGGATCAAACTCAGGTCCTTGCACTTGTGAGGCAGGTGGCGGAACCACTGAACTAAATCCCTGCCCCTCTTTTCTTTCTTCCTTCCTTTCTTTCTTTCCCTCTTTCTTTCTTTTCTTTCTTCCTTCCTTCCTTCCTTCCTTCCT